GCTAATACAGATACAGCTCATGAAAACATGTAACCATGTCCACAGTTACGTCTTGTACAATCACTGGTGCGTTTTGTGCTATCCAAATTCAATCCTCTAATATGATGTACATCTTCATTATCAGCAAAAATGTTAGAATAATGTGTGTATGTGTGTAGTATTTTGATAAGCATGATACTTCCTATTAAAATCTGGGAATAGATTTTTCACAATCACATTTTTACTTTCCATGTAAATGAGGTGAGCAGATTAAAATAACATAATACCAGCCTTCACATCAAACTATTTCACTGGGAACATAAATAAGCAAGAAATATCATCATCCTGCCAAGAATTAGGTCCTTGGTGCAGTTCCGGACAGTTGCTCAAGGTAACTTGCCATATTAGTCTTTTAGTGCCTCAGAGTAGCAGGTGACAAACCAGCTGCCCCTGTACAATTTTTACTCATTCCTAATTTGTCTGCTAAGTGAATCAGAAGAGATATGGGTGAGAAATGGCCACTGCATTTTGCTTACAAAAATCCATCAATATCAGCCAGGTTTGAACCAGCAAACCTTGGGTCCAGTAGCAAGCACGCTACCACTAGACCACATACATGTTAATTTTCCTTTTGTCCCACTGCCCATATGCAAGTATAAACAGTAGTTAATACAAGAAGTTACATAATTGTAATGGAAATATTTTCAGTGCCTTAATGTCTATAATAAATAAATATGGGACTTAAACCACACAAGTCATCAAATATGCCTGGGACTGTTTAACAATGAATGTTCAATGCAAAAAGCAAACCCAAGACTTGTATTGGGTATATTACAAATTCTTCTTATGACATTAGGCACTTTTTCACTTAACACAGATATTATGTTTGTACTTATAAGACACTATTTTCAGTATATTCAGGGAAGAAAATATAAACATTGACAAAATGTACAAAAATTCAAAAAAGGTGCATTTGAAAAATGTGCTGTATTCTCATGCAGATTATTAGCCTATCAGAAAAATTGTTTTCTAATACATTTTTTATAAATACACCTAATAATGCAGTTTGGTCTTTGTACAAAATAATAATCCATCTTGTCCAATTTCGATAAAAATTCTATATGGTAAACATTTTGAGAAGACTCTGAGACCACATGTCATCATAACAGGAAGTTTTCATTAGAGCAACAATAACTTTAACTTTTATTTTCCTCTTTAGCATTTGTCCCGCTTTGACAGGGTCTGCTTTTATCCTCTCTTTGGAAGTGTGCTTGATTTTTTGGACATTTGGTAGGACTCCTTGGTTGAGAGATCAGCTCGTCACAAGGCCTCTATCTGCACACAGGACAACACAACACAGAAAGACGCAAACATCCATGCCTTGAGTGGGATTCAAACCCACGGTCCCAGTGTCCGAGCGGCACAAGGCCCATGCCTTAGACCGCGCAGCCACTGTGATGGCACACCATCATTAACTTTAACTGAATACAAATTATCTTCATCTTACTTGTATTTCTCCCTCCACCGGAGCAGGAAGTGGGCTACAAAACTAACAGGCTCACACTTTACTCCAAGCCTTCTTGCCACACTTTCAAACACAATGCTTAATGTGATTGGAATTCCCCTTCGATACTCCAGCACCTGTTCACAAAAATTATATGAGTGATAAACATATTTCATTTCATTTCTGACACAAGAAAACTGTGATCACAAGTTCAAACAAGTTACATTATTGGAACTTGCACAGTTGCATTTCCCAAAATGAAAGCCTCATTTGAAATGTAACTTTATAACAGAGTAAGGTAAAAATGTTGCAAAGCTGAAGCTTGAACAGCACACCGTAACATCTGTGTATACATAAATTTATCTTTGTTGTTTACATAGAATGCGCAGCTCATATACGAGGGTTATTTCAAAAGTCATGGCAACTAATTTTTTGGGGGCAAATACGTTATATTGAAGAAAGTTCAAAATATACATATGAAAGGGCACAATATTCTCCTCCGATTGGCGTAGTCAGATCAGGTAGGTGTGAATGGGTGTAAGTATGGTAGGCAAGAAAAAAGGCACATTACGGAATGACCGTTTTTTCCATTCTTTAATCCTAGAAAAATTCAATTGTGATTAAAAAAATTCAATGTGATTTAAATCAGAATTCTTAAATTAAGAATAGCACTGCTAGCAGTGCTTCACGGCAGAAATGCGATTGAATGCCACTCAGAGCTTGTGGAAGCTCGGAGACTACTTCAAAGGTTGCTAGTATTAATGTAAGAATTCTGATTTAACTCACATCAAATTTTTGAATTTTTTTAATCAAAATTGAATTTTTCGAGGATTAAAGAATGAAAAAGAGGCCATTCCGTAATGTGCCTTTTTTCTTGCCTACTATACCTACACCCATCACACCTACCCGATCTTACTACTCCAATCGGAGGAGTATATCAGCCAGTATATGTATATTTTGAACTTTCTTCAATAAACATGTTTGCCCCCCAAAAATTAGTTGCCACGACTTTTGAAGTAACCCTCGTATTTGCATATGACCTGTACTGTACTCATGATTAGGGTTTATACAAAAACCGACTTTTGAAAAAACCAGTTTTCGAATTTCAGTGTTTCCAAAAACCGGTTAAACCGATTTTCGAATTTTTACAAAAAACAATATAATTAAAACAGTAAAAAATATTTATACTTATTTTAAAAAAATTCAGTTTATTTAATATTTATGGAACTACAAAAATATAACAAAATAAAATATACTCCATACAAAACCAAATAAAAAACTAAAATAACTAAAATCCGTACAAAATATAAATTATAAATTTTTATTTCTTTTAGTATTTTTCTTCAGGAAATATGATTTCAAAAAACATAAAATGTCCACTGAACGATTACTTAATCTAAACTAAATTATATCGAGTTTTGAAGCTAGTGGAAATACACTAGATTTCTTTGTTGAAATGTTTTGTGGATTTTGCAAATATAGCAAAAGGGTTACCAATCCAACTTGTCTTCTTTCTCGAATTCGTACTCCTAAAGCATTTAATAATTTGGAACTAATTTCAGTCTTTAAAATTTTTAGTTCATTTAGCAGAAATTATTACATATTAATTCTATTATCTAAAGCCGGTTTTAGAATTTTACAAATTTATCCAAAAAACTGGTTTTTAAAAACCAACAAACCCTACTCATGATATGCTGCATTATATTGAAAACTTTGCTGCAGAGAGAACTACCAGTTGTAGCATAATAAATGTGATAATATAATGTTTTATGTACATACTTTATTGATGTAGGAGTTTACTGCTGAATAGTACATTTCATCATTGCTATGAAAACCCATGTCTTGGAAAAGCACACTGCACATAGCTGAAATAATCTGCTGAGATTCAGATGGCTTCCACTGATTGTCACTGATATTCTTGTTCCTCCATGATTTCAATTTATCGTCAGATGTACTAAATATCGGGTGGTTCCCATGCTCCACACGTAACTTTCTTTTGACTTCCATGGCAATATTATCTAGCTCAGCTGCAATAAAACTGTATGTCACTTCTATCATTGGCTGACACCACTGTGCTACCAAAACTGCTCCCTTTTCCAATAAGTGATCTTCATGATCCAGAGCTAGAAAACCTTGCCATTCTTCCTTCAAATGCTCTTGTCGGATGTAACGCATTACTTTCTCTGCGTAGTACTTCTGTGTTAAATTTGAGTACCTACAAATAAAAGTAATTTCTCAATAAGAAACACTTCACTACCTGTAAAGCTGAACATTTCATACAGAAGCTGAATTCAACTGCACAACAACTCATAAAGTTAGCTGTTTAAGCCAAGATGTTCACTGCAGCCTTGAAAACAAGTCACAGTGGATGGAATTTATGTCATATTTGGAGTGGTTGTATCCTATCAGCATACTGCATCACGTATTGGATGCTTTAAGGACTACTACACCAACTTTAATTACTGAGGTAAGGTATAAATCACATCCTAACATTTTATAGGTTAATACAGGACATTTAATTTTTGTTAATAATAGCCAAATATAAATCTTACTTCACGTGAAACTCAAGCTTATGTTTTCTAAAAAAATGGCTCCTTGTACGAACAACTATATGTATTATCTAATATAGATCTCATTTTGATGTAAACTTACATATGAAACTACTTTTGATACAATGAATACTTAACAGTGTACAGGAGGAAATAATTTCTGACTGCAGACACATATGTAAATACAACAGGACTATTTCTACTTTGAAGATTTCTGTCTTCTGAGTTGTTGCGCTGTGTAGTCTGGTCGATGTTTACCAACATTTCTGAGGTCATGAATCGCCCTGATGATGGAGGTAGTATGTCCTCAGAAACGTTGATTAACATCGACCAGACTACACAGCGCAACAACCCAGAAGACAGAAATCTTCATACTCACCGCTGTGAAAACCTCAAATCTTACATATTTCTTCTTTGTTCTTCCCTTCCATTATTGAATAAAATACAGATTTACCCACTACAAACTATTAATAAATGATACTGATAATAGAGATATGTTCTATTGAAATGACCAAATAAGAATGTTAATCAATACTTAAGTATAATCATTCACAATTTAAACTGACCAAATGCTAAATAAGTACAACCGCTGAAGCAAAGTAGTCCAACACTTCAGACAGGTATTCTATGCAAGATCTGATCAGTGAGATTACACATTCAATGTTATGAAAAGAAATAGATGCTACATGTTGATTTACTTATGGTTTATTTAATAACTCTGTCAATAGCTCAGGGTCAATTAGGATGACTGGCAGACAATGAAATAAAAAATATATGGGGAAACCAAAAAAAAATCTCTGTCTGGAGAGGCAGTGTGCAGGAACCTTGCAAAAATGAAGCAGAACTCACTGCACATCACAACTGCAATGTTTGGGATTGACTGCTCCACTAAAATATTTGTATGTGCAACAAATACATACAAAAGCCATTAAAGTATTAAACTGCCAAGAAATCAAATGTAAAATGTGTATATGCCAAATTAAGGCACAGCATTCATTCTAGTTTACACTGTCTGAGAAGTACTTTAGTGTCCTGACAACATATGAAAAAGAGACAATGTTAAGATAAAGTCTGAAACAGCACATCCTCACCATTCAAAAGGGCTACAATATTGAAAACTGCCGCAAACAGTAAAACCATGATGCGCGAACTTAAGACCTTATGGGGTTAGGCAAACCAAAGACACAAACAAAATACTTAATAAAATTAATAATTAATAAACACAAAATATTAGTGTTAAAATTATATGCATAAAATTATAAAATGTTACTTTTGGAACAAAAACCTTATAAATCTAAGGCTCCATGCCAATCCACTGCGATCGCTATTCTTACCAGGTGGTGCAGTTCAACCCCTGAAATTATTAAAATTTATCTTAGGGGCTACAAATAAAATACAATGAACTACACACTTACTTGTCATCACTGTGTTCAATACTCATGAGTTCATTCACCATAAAAGCATAACCGTATTCACAATCCCGTATCATTTTGCCAAAATCAGAAAGTTCTGAACTGGACATTTCTTCTTGCTTATGGAACCTGTGTGACATCCCTGCCATCAAATGCCGAAAATCCTTACCAAACTGCAGCCGAGTCTGGTACAGACATTGCCAAGAGTAAGGCCTCTGATGATCAAAAATATCTTGTAAATCTGGCCACCTTTGAAACAAAAACCATGCTTTATAAAAGACATAAAGCAATGAACAGAGTAAATTTCTTATACTTACAATTCAAGATATGGTCATATAAAAGGAGTTATATTAACACTGAAAAGCAGTATGATGCTATGGCAGTAATGCACATTACAGAGTAAACAATAACAGAAAATATTTTAAAGAAATATTTCTAACTGTACCTGTAGGTAAATGCTGGTTTGTAAATATCATTTACCACTTTTAAATTGAAAATACCGGAAACTGCTATATATCTCACAACAAAGGTGCATTTAAGGGCGGCCGCACACCAACTGCGTCAAGACAAGCATCTAGACATGAGACAAAAGACACAGTCTTGCTTCATTCGTGATTCAGACTCGAGTCCGCACACCGAAGTAGCATGTGTCTGCGTCTTATCACATCTTCTCTAGTTGATGACATGACGTCGTCCAGTGAGGAAGATATTTTAATGTACATGTGGCTTAAATTACGTAAAAGAAGGAAAATGAAGTGGATTCATGACTTTAATGAGTCGTGTGCTCAACATGGTGCATACGTTTCAGCGCGACTTGTTAAACGATCCGGTGAAATTCCAGTCTTATCATCGAATGTCCCCAGAATCCTATAAGGAACTTCTTCAGAGAGTTTTGCCACTATTGAGGAAGCAGGATACAAACTATAGGAAAGCTATTAGTGTTGATGAATGGCTACTTATAACATTAAGGTAAGTGTTAGCATTAATTATAAGAAATAAATCACAAAACATGTGCGCCAAACTGTGCATAAGAAGAGTTCCATCTGACAAGCTTGATTCTAGGACCTCAAACATGCAGTTTTCATAAACATTCCTCAGATAAGATCATGGCAATCCCATCTAAGTATGTCTCTTCAACTTCATGATTCACAGAAATCCTATCACATCACATTTTTTAGACACATTTGTTAAAAATTTGTCTCAACACCTTGCATGTGTAGTTTTAAGGCCCAAATCTTTAATGAACACAGTGAGCATGACACAGGGTGAAAGACCTTCAATTCATTGTTTCCTGATACACTTCATATATTTTAAAAATCCGCAACAAAACACCTAACTGATCTGTGTTCTCATATTAACCTTTATGTGCAATAGACCACTATCAGCATAACATTTAAATAACATCTCCTTTCCCGTCTTCAAATCGCAAATAGTCACTGAATCAACGAGATTCTTTTCCACTATTCTTTCTATGAGACTTTCTTCTCTAGCATTTGTGTCCAAGCCTTGCAAATGAAGACTGTTTGTGAATTGAAAGTATCAACAGAGAAGGGAAGCAGGCTGATGTATATGATATCTCTGTTCCAAGACATATAATTACTGCAGACTGAGAAAACTATGAAAATTTCTGATTTACAAGTTTCTTAAAATATTAGAGTTGTATGTAAACAACTGCAAAACAGGCAGAAATTAATTAGCTTTTGAGAACAAAGCAACAAGATGTTTCCAGGAGTGCTACTATAATTAGACATTAAGAATGCAAAGTAGCAGGTCAAAAACTGTTGTTCCCTCTCAATTGACCTAGTGCATACAATGAAACATTCTGGGCAAACATTTTATAACTTTATTATTCTTTTAACCCACTTTTCAGTTTCATACCTGAAACAAATTTAAATCATTAGATAATATTTTGTTCTACACAATACTTGACCCTGCAGGGGGAAGTTGCAGCACCGGTCCATTTGCCAGCCATACAAGACAGGCAGACAGACATTATATCCATTCCATGGATCTTGGCTGATTAATGTGTGGAACAAGTCAGTGTAAGTCATACTAGAAAAATACTTAACTAGTATAAAAATTATAAATTCCATATAACTATTCCACAATATGGATTAGAATTCCATATATAATTAACAAGTTGCTATTAATTATGTAGGATTTATTATTTCATCAACAGAGTAGGTGTGTAACAAAATAAATTTCTTTATGCTAACTAAACTGGTAGTGGACAATTTTTTTATTTTTACTGGGAACTTGTTATAGACCTTAATTCTTGAATCTTTCAAAGTACACAGTAAGATAACAATCAAGTCTGTGTGTACTGTTTGCTACTGTAATCTTGAGACTTGCAAGGAATGCTGCAAGTTTGAAGTGTTAAAGGCTACTGCAAGAATGAGTAGGAGCTATTCCTGCTCTCCCCCAAGTGCCTAATGTTTTGTTTTTATTACAGACTATGTGAGTGATAATAAATTGCCTCTTTCTGAAATCTCAGGTTTCCATGGAGGTGAAAATAGTTGTTCATAAACCTCTGAATTTGAACAATTTAATAGTTATTGACTATAAGTATCACAAACATAAACATATATTCAGCAGTGTTAGTATGCAAAATTATGATTATTTTCTTCTACACAAAGGTAAGAGAGTTTAAAAAAACATGTTTGGGAAATGTTTTGGGCGAAAGAGCAGAGGTAATTAAAAAATCGATACGGGGTGCTGTATCAATCCAGTGTTCCAAAACCGCCGAATTCTCTAGCTGCTCAAGGCATATGTGCCTCATGATCCTTGCGGCTAGCGTTGATGGTTCTGATAGTTTATCAGATCCCTGATAACGAGGATCATAACGGTTCTCGAAACGTCAGTTTTTTTGCGACCACCTGACCCGATAAGGATTCATTGGGTATTCAAACACTTGTGAAGAAATCTTCCCTTTTCACACAAAGGAGCAGTTTTATTAGACAAATATAAAACTTAGGTCTAGAACAAAACTATACTTTAAAACTCTTGCTGAAACTTACCGCTGAATAAACTTCGTTTTCCAGATTTTGTTACTGTTTCTTACTAACTTACTAAATTTTGTACACGTTGAGCCAAAATTACAAACATCTTCGGCTGATAATACTTCACTTTCAAGAATATATTCTAAAACCTCATTTGAGAAATACAGAATCAACACGTCAGACGCCATTTCAACAAGCTTCTCCACAGAATATAAGATTTGAATTGTTGATTACACCGTAAATGACACATACCACAGAAAATACCAAAGTTAAAAGTTGGCAATACATCCTGCCCATGGCGTACTTATTGTGCTGCTATCATGTTGGCAATTCAATTGCTATGATAGTAATCTGGCGGAAACAGTTCGTATTATACCAAGGTTGCTGCCACTTCCAAGAGCTTAGTCGGTAAGAATGTTACCGTCCAACATACTCGATCCTCTTCGCCCTAAACACAAGTACAGTTATTTTTAAAAATTTGACGATACCTGTCTCCTGGGATATTGCACCATGCAGTTTGGAAGAAACTAACTGACGTTTCAGAGGTGCTTCGTGACCTGAAGCTGTTGGCAGTAAGCGCATCAGAAATGTCTATTTCTACCGGATTACAGGGTGCAATATCCCATATGACAGTCATCTTCACACTCGCCACAAATGAATCATCTGCTACATCACTTAATCAAAGCCCTCCACCGAAACCCTGTCCTGGGCCAACAAAATCCAGTCTCCTTCAACTCTAATCTCCCACAGATCCCGCCTGACATTATCTTCCCATCTACATCTAGGTCTTCCCAGGGGTCTCTTCCCCATCGGCTTCCCGATCAATACCCGGTGCACACATCTTGCCCCATCCATCTGCGTCACATGCCCCGCCCATCTCATTCTTCTTCCCCCTGTGCAAGTCAAATTTTGTGTTGAAAGAAATATTATCTAATGATTTAACTTCGTTACAGATATGAAACTTAAAAGTGGGTTAAAAGAATAATAAAGTTATAAAACATTTTCCCAGAATGTTTAATTATATGCAGAGTCTCAAAAATGCAATAGTTTCTGTGAATTATAAAATTGAAGAGATGTACTTGGTGGGATTGCCATGATAGCATCTAAGGGTGGTTTATGAAAATTGCATGTTGGAGGACAAAGAATCAAGCTTGTCAGATGGAACATTTAATTACACCTTAGTTGTGAGATATAAAGCAGTTTCAGGCATTTTCAAGTTTATCAACACACATCAGCACTTAATTTCATGAACAGTTAGAAATACTCCTTTAAAATACTTTGTGGTTGTTTACTGTATGTAATGTGCATACTTTCATAGCATCATACCACTCTTCAGTGTTAATAAAGCTCCTTTCATACAGCCATTTCTTAAATTTTAAGTATAAAAAATTTACTCTGTATTAATTGCTGAATGTATTTCTGTTATAAGGCATAGTTAGCTATCTGTTTCAAACATGCCAGATTTGCATGATGTCTTCGATCATCATAGGCCTTACTCTTGGCAATGTCTGTACCAGACTCAGCTGCATTCTAACAGCTGATAGCTGAGACAGCATGCAAGATAGAAGAAATTTCCAATTCAGAACTTTATGATTTTGGTGAAATGACAAAAGAGTGTAAATACATTTATGCTTTTATGGTGAACAAACTCATGAACATTGAACACATTCATGATATGTATCTTTTTGAGATAAGGTGATGTTTATAACCAGCAAATATAAACTGGCCAGGCACCTGATCCAGACATCAGTATTATGATGTGTAAAATATTTAGGCACCCAAAAAGTAAAAATCCAATATAAAAATACAATCACTGAACAGAAATTAAAAAGGAAGACAATTAAATTTGGAGACTCAAGAACAAGTGTCCACGTCCAGCAAATTTTTCCACACCTAGCACATCTTGTTAGGGAATTTATCTAAACAAAGGGCTGTAGATATTAGAAGTACAGGCAGGACCACTTCCTGTTTGACCGAGAAGCAGCAGCCATTACAGTCAATGATACTTCTACTACGAATTGTGTCCGTCTCCATATGTTAATGCATTTCTCATTTCTTGAATACTGATGAAATGTTTTATTCCTTCAAAATTTACAGCAGAAACACAATAAATTATAAGAACAATATTTCAAACTGTAATATCACAGACTTACTAGGAGAGACATAAAGCATAACAAGACTGGGTAAATATATTTTAGAAGTAAAGATAATCTACATAATATACTCTTACTAATACATATTTATTTGTATAATGTCCTCTTTCTGTTTTTTTGGGAAGGAAATAAAGATGTTTTTTTTTGTTCTATAATGCCCTCCACTTAGCAGTTTTCATCACTGATGTCACACAAGAGGTCAACTGAGGTCTGATTCATTCATTCTTGTGAATAAAAGGTTCGAAAGTCACACTAATCTAATCTGAAAATAGCTTTCCCCTTTTCTGGATGACAACACAGTCCTTGGCAGCATGTACGTCTGCCATGCAGTTTTTCTTGGTATATCAATCACAAAATACTTTAGTTTAGAATTGCTGGTTATGATTTTCAGTATGAATGTGAGTGCTTTATAATAGGGAAAAGAATGATAACCTCTGAGATAGAACGTAAAGGTAAGCTGCAGGTAGTATATAAAAGGGAGAAATATATAGCAAATGCAGTTCTGTAAAGATGATACTTTTTGTTGTAAAGCACCAAGAACCTATTAGAAAAATGATCTGCACATTGCCGCTCCCCGATTTACTGTTGAGAACAGTGGGGAAGAGGAGGAACATCACACAAGTAAATACAGCATTATACATACTAATGGAAACAAATTTGTACGAATGTAAGAAACACAACTTTAACCCAAACTTTTTTAACCTGACAGTCAAAAGTTAGGTTTGTATTTAGTAAATGTTTTAGAATAAAAATAAAATATAGGGTTCAAAAGTGAACTTTCAAAGTTGTGTCCATATCATCTAAATGTTTTCTGGAATGAAATAAAACATATGGAGTAAAAATTAAGTTTCATATGGAAAGGATTCCAGAAATAAACTTGCCTACTAAAATAAGTGACTTACGATATCAATGTCAAGTACAGAAATATTATTATAAAGTATGCTGTGAGATTAAGCATGAGTGAATATTATGAAGTGGCTACTATGTTTAATATTATTACTGGAGCTCTGCATATGGAGAAGAAATGAGACAGTCAACAAGTCTATTCATTTCTTTAATCAACAAACATGTGAAAAGGCTACTGATATTCCTACTTTATGTCTATTTGTTAGGTAGTTACTTACAGTGAACTGAACTGGAGCAGAAACCTTGAATTACAAATCTTATTTTCTCTTTCTTATTTTATCAGAATCATTCTGAAATAAAAAAATTGTTCCAGAAATGAAATGGGGAGAAAAAATAAGACAGCAACATATGAAAATTATACTAAAAGTATTTAAGAAGCCATCTACTGCATATTATTCACATTATAATACCATGAGAAATAATTTCACAGATTGGACAAGTCATATTACAAAGCACATTCTATGAACAAATAAGGTGTATGCCTAATTTTGTAATTCAGGTTTTGAAATAACAAGTTTCCTAGTGAAAAATCAAGTCTTTTGATAATTAGCTTACTGAGCAGCAATATGTGTCTTCTAAAGTTACTGATATCAACCATACTACTTACTGCTAATGACAGTCTGTGCAACTGCATAGTAATTCACTTTACCACATTCAAAATTTTCACTCGACAATAGCAGAATGAGATTAAAAAATGCTATTTGATCAATGTATTTTGACATTCAATTCATTGGGGCTAATGCAAAGTAAAAAGTAAAGCGTCCCACTACATGCCTATGCGCAGAGGATAGAGGAAAAATCCTCTGCCCGTCGGGGATTGAACCCCAATCGCCCAGCCTCTAGCTAGTCACTATACTGACTGAGCTATCCCAGCTCATAGAGGCTAATGAATAAACAATAATATTGGTAGAAGTACTATAAATTTGAAAATTATTCATAAGCAGTGATTCAGTAATTATGTTCTAATGTTGCATAATCTACAGAAAGCCACAAGGAGCATTAACCTGATTTACTTTAATTTTATATGCATCTTCCATGTAAAGCAACTACAAATATTTTCTGTAAACAGGTACCACTCATCCAAATGTAATTTTAATTAAGGGTGTCCCAAATTACCATATGCCAAGTCAATTAGATTTCTCTATGCACCTGATTAATTAGCAATGAACTGAAGCCTGATTAGAAGTAAAGAATAAAGTAAATAAGTTAGAAAGTATTTAACCTACAACAATGGATCTTGAACAAATTCTTTATACATCTGACATGGATTACTCCATTTACTTGAATTCTAGAAAGAAAGAAAGAAAGAAAGGGGAATAAAAGAAACATGCATGCACGCACGCACATACATACACACACCATACATGCATACGAGGTGCGATCGGAAAGTTTCTAGACTGCGCCTATAAAAACCCGTGCACTTATCTCAGGTATTAAATTCATCCATCACCCTCGACGTAGTTCCCCTGGGAGTGAACACAACGATCCCAGCGCCGCTGCCAAGCCTGGAAGCATCCCTGGAAATCTTTCTTTGTCAGCCTGTCAAGCACCATCTGCGATTCTGCCTGAATCTCTTCTATCGTCTCAAATCTCCTTCCCTTTAGCTGAATTTTCATCTTTGGGAAGAGGAAGAAGTCACACGGAGCTTAGAAAGGAAGTTGGGGTCGGTTCTTGCAAGATCTTTGAGCTCCTGACAAACGAGAAGTCGATTCTGCTTCTGGTCCTCAGAGAGGATGCGTCGCATGTGGAGTTCTTCCTTTAGAATCAGCTGACAGGTCCCAACAATGTCGCACAAGTCGTTGATGGTACGACGTCGATCTTCGTAACATTTTCGGGCGTTGTGCTCGAAGATGGTCGTCCAGAATGCTCGTCATCATCGACAGGGGTTCGGCCATTTTTAAAACGTGAATGCCCCACAAAAGTTTGTGCACGACCCATTTCGAAGTATTTCCCCAAATGCTTGCTTTAGCATTTCATAGGTTTCCGTAGCCGTTTTGGCGAGTCTTTGGCAACATTTGATGCACACGCCATTCCGAAATCGCAGGAGGGTCGGTGTAATGCACTACCAAACCGCCCGTAACTAAGAAACAAATGCTAATTCGATGATGCCGGCTGGCACACTGATTCACTATGAATGTAGGCCGCACCCCCTAGCGGCAGAAGCTCGTACTACATCCGGTTCGCCCTCTATTGACACAGTCTTGAAACTTTCCGATCGCACCTCGTATATACAGTTTATTGATGTAGGAAAATTTTAAAATCCCAGATACAAGGAAAATAAACAAAACAAATTTTTGCATAAATCAGAATATTCCTACAGGATAATATAGTCAAAGAGGAATCATAATGTCACATTTACTTGGTTTCATACACCTATATGCTCATTCACATGCACAAATGGCAGAATAAAAAGAATATTCCATATGTGACAGTGCCAAGTATTCACTGTGTGCATAATTAACCACATTCCACTTATCATTTTGTAGCTCATCACTGACAGCAGCCTGCAGTGGGGAATCCTGTCTGATTCCTTCTCACTATGCATATTCCTTGAGAGAAATAGTTCTCATGTAACTGAGCAACCAATTGCTAAGAACGTTACATTATCTTTAATCACCATACCTAAATCAAGTGTCAGACCAGTAAGGCTGGTGGGGTGGACTTTAGAATACATGTCAAACATGCAATCACACACTCGCACAGTATTGTTTGCACTGCACTTATGTTAATGATATGGCTGCTGCCTACTGTTTACTTTTGATACAGAAAAGATGCAAAAGATCCTTTTGATAATTCTGGTAAAATTAAAATCAGTGCAAAATAATTTTAAAACAAAGAATTTGTTTCATTACTGCCACCATCACAATTCCATCTTTTCTGTTTTACCAAGTAGTGTTAATTTAGAAGACTGACTATTTCGAAGGAGTTTCCCAAGGTCTGACAACAAGTCTATGATCACAGTAGGGGAACCTAATCCAAGGTTATGTGCTGCTTGCCAACTTCTTGCAAGCATACAAATCTATAAGCTACCTTGTTTACATGGAAAACACAACTAACTAGATGGCTTACAGAACTCGAAGGTTCAGCAATGTCTTAACCAAAGCCCTTCACCAGGCCCTGTCCTGGGCCAACAAAATCCAGTCACCTTCAACTCCTATCTCCCACAGATCCATCCTGATATTATCCTCCCATCTATGTAGCATGGAAAACACATATAAACTGAAAATTCTGCATATTGCTGGGTGCACAACCTAGTTATATTCTTCTAGGAAGCACTTAAATCAGTCCCTTATGATGGAAACAGAGATGGCATCTGATACATCAGATACTAAGTTAAGGATCACAAGAGTTACTACTTTAGAATATGTAACTGAAAATCACATACATCACACTACATGGTGTAAAACAATTGTAACAGTAGTCCACTCAATGGGTACATGGAAGAACAGTTTTCTTCTAAAAGTTAAAGATGGCTGGTGACCCCTAAGCCTTGCTGGTGTGGTGATTAAATGCAGCTTTGAAACCATTCACTACATCAGAACATGCCAATCAGCGAACTTAATATATTTTATTCTATGCAAAGTTCAGTAATGTGGACTAGTCCTACCTATAACAGAAGTCAGTTCTGGTATCAAATAATGATTATTTCTGATCATAATGCTCCATGCATGCTGACCAAAATGTTAAAAAATATAAAAATACAATTATTCATGCCAAATTAAAGTCCTTGCAAAAAAAAGCCTTTTATATCTTGTGGGCCTTGACTGAGACCACTTCACTAGTCACTCACAAAGGTGGATTCTGATTCTGTTAATGTAAGAAAGATTATTCAGTTGAAACACACAGCCAGTTTGTTCTTCTATCACCACCTAACAACAATACCAGTAACAGAAACTATACACACTTGTTTAATAAATAGTGTCACTTTAAAATATTATGTGCTTTTAATAAATTGTGACTGTTTCACCTGCTTTGTATGGAACAGAACATATTACACAACAGCCTTCCTAACATTAAAGCTTATATTTCTCAAATCCTACACAGCTTATATTTCCTTATACACTGAAACCTTCACAATTTTGTCCATTCCAACAAAGAAATAATATCCTATAATGGGCACGTACCATCAATTATTGTTCAGATGAATGTTAACATTTTAGAATAGTTGGCAATTTTATTTAACCATTTCTGATATCAGTCTTACATTCAATAACTAAAAGTAAAAGTTATGTTGAAAATATATTGCAATATGAACAACGCATTGTCTTTTTTAACATAGGGCATACAGAATTAGATTACTCATGCTGTAGCTAATAATGTATCATCACACAAAATAAATTTATAGCTGTTTAAATTTAGCTATTACAGCACAAACACTGAAATTTATTTGACAAGATAAAGTGGCAGTGTTTCACTTGCTATGCATATTACAGTCATCGTATCAAATCAAATTAGTTACTAATGGTCTTGTGGTTATTTAACTAACATGCAATAATTTCTGGACCTGAGCAATGGTTAAATACATGATTTTTCTGCTGCTTTACAGACATGAAGTACACACTTTGTACAGTGAGGTTTAACCTGTTTCCCAGCAAATCGCAGAACAGCTACCATGAAGTGAGTTTGTGTACTATGGGCTAGTAAAATCCTAGAAGCCAAGCCCCATGTTGCTTTGAATCACACTATTGTACTTTGCCTGTGTGATACACATGGGAACAAAGAATGTTCATGTATGATACCTATGTGAAAAGTAACTACCAAAAAAAGTTAGAGAAGAGGTTGTGGCAAAAACATCAGGAGGTTATAATTCTGTGTTGTACCATTATTTACAGAACTGTAAATAAATTTAGACATGATCAATACTGAAGAGAAACGGGAAAAACAGTGCTAAGCTTGAAAGGCAAATCCCTCACATGTTCAAATAAGAGAACAAGGCTTCAAAATCATCAGCACAAACTACCACAAAACTCCTAAAACTGAAATCACTTTTGACAGCAGTACATGAACTGTAATTGTGCTTGCTAATAGAGCAAATGTTAACCTTTTACTGGGGTGTCAGGGATGTGTTCAGAATGGAGAGAACTTCCAATACCTTCTGTAATTGGGGTAAGTTTCATTTTTTATGTTTAGTCTGTGGGTTTGTTAGTTTCGCTAGCAATCTGAATGTCTGCGGGCCAGTGTTACAGGAGGAGCATCCAGCTCTTCCACCTGAGAGGTTCAGTGATCAGTGGGACACTCAAAAATAATCTGTTCTTTAATACAAAAACACTGTAAATTCAGACTGAAATTACTTAATGAAGTAATAAAAATTAGCTTCACCTTTGTGCTGGAAAACTTACAATATAGAAGATAACCAGCAAATTCCAATACACCAAATTAATACATGACACAGGCCTTTTGATACAATACTGTTTACCTGTAATATGCGATGTCAACAAATATTTGAGATTCTGTTATGATTTTAAATACATGTGAAACTTAATAATACAGAAATTTAACATGCAATGTTAAATCAAGATGATCCTGAAGGCTTATTTCTGTCATCTGCTGAGCTACAAAGAAAAAAAGGAAAAACAGATTTTAACCTCATACAATGCCATGGGATCTAAAACAGGTAAAATAAAACTGTTTAACCAGTGGCATTAATTTTAATGCTTGAAATTTAATATATTAATATATACAATGTAAAATAATACACTTAAGTTTTAACAGTTAAAATAAATGGAATGGTGACCCTAAAAATATACAATTTTTTAAAACATCATGACAATTTTTTTCTTTAGTTATCTGCAGTTTGCAATATTACTGAACACCTTAGATATTAATACTTAGGACATCATTAAGTGTCAATTATATCTCAGAATCAAGGACTGCAATGGCTATTAGATATTTCTAACAAATGATTAAGTAAATCAGATTGTGAGGAAAACAAATCTACTCCAAAGACAAATGTTGGCCTGTGGGCCACAAGCACTCCCAAACAGGGTAAAATAATGCACACTATGGACATCACTAGAAACTAAAATGCCTAGCTTCTCATAAATGACCATAGGATTGCTAGGTAATAACAGTTACTATCTATCTGTAGTAATGTGATACATGCAAATTTACCTGTTATCTTTTCTCTGTTTCTCCTCCTCTTTTTCAGGTTGGTTCCTTCCTCCATTGTCATTCTCTTTCCTGGGTGTACCCATCTCTCTCTGTGCTAAACAATTAAAATCACTCAAATTTTAAACACTTGATTTTTGTTGAATAAGTGTACATGAGAAGTCACAATAATTATAAATTAATCTACTACAAATTCATCACAAGAAGATTTTAAAAATTGGCAAGATTATGTAAAAAATATACTGTTTTCTCCAGCTAGTCAAACTTTCTCTGCTATAAATTCCAACATATTCTGTGATATGAAAATCACATATAAACCTCTTTCATTAATATGAAAACCTGCATTGTAAATATAAAAACTCACCATGTTGTACAGTAGATAAAAGTGGTGGAGTCCAACTAAACAATGATGATGTATCTCTGCTTATTTGTGGGTATGAACCCTGGGAATGTGGTTGCTTAGGAGGTGATGGGGAGTGGTCCCTGTTCACATTTGTAGATGTTTCAGAGATTTTCCTACAAGTCATAAAACACAAGATCTGAGGTTCCCACAGCAGTGAAGATGTCCATGGTGGTCCCATGGGCTGTTGACTTGAAGGTGAGTACCAATGTTTCACAGCCTTCTGGGCTGAAGATCTCCATCTTCAGCCCAGAAGACCACCTCCCATTCCTGGATATTGACATATACAGGAAACCAGTTAGCTCATAGATTATACAGGAAACCAGGAATGCAACACAGCAACTCTTCACCAACTGCAGAGGTTACATTTCTGACAAACATTTCAATTGGCAAGACCAAGGGGCCTTAAGGCAAACTGGGGGTTAGAGGAACTGTAGCTGTTGTTAACACTCGTCAAAGCCTAAGATACCTGTTCCTTCACTAAACATAAAAAAATATGTAAGTCTAATAATATCAGACATAAATATACCAATCAAGTATAGCAGTTCACAGTTGTAACCATGTGATGAGGAGTAACAAACAAAATTTTTGTGGCTAATAAGGGTGGAAAATGTACTGAAGTCGTAACAAATGGTATATTACGTGCTTTTTACGGTAAATAGTTTTATTTCAATGAATACAGTGTGATAAGTAAGGATTATATTCCAGATAATAAATGGGTGTTTTGATTCAAATTTCATGATGGAAATGTGAGTGATAAAATGGCACTGCTAGATGCAAGCAAAATAGGCAATCAGGAGTTGCTGGGGTAAAGAAAAAAAAACTGCATTATGAGAAAATATGAGCATAAAGCTAAAATCTAATAAAATGTTCTGGTTAAAAATGGTAGTTGATGCAATGCACTGAAGAAGAAAGGCAGAGGTTGATGTCACATTACATCTGAAGCCAAAATACATTATTTGCAAATACATAATATTTCTACTTTTAGTGTGAGCAGTGCACTAAGACATAGTCCTTCAGCCAGGTGTCATCGCTGCAAATGACGTATGTAAATCTTTGGACATATTTAGCATAAACATTGTCTCCCTTGAGGGCATGTTCTCAATAAGGGAAATGATCTAGATAGGTTGTCTTGATGGATGATCTAGCTTGGTTATTTGTTTTTTGTATTTCTTTAGAGTTTTACATTTATATCAGTGTTTTCCCAGGTCGATTATTTGCTTTTATTTCATTTATTTTTCCTTGTGTATAATATTGTTTCTATTTTGGGCTTGCCTGTATTTGGCTGTTATATTTAATACTGTACATGTACAAGTTTAGTTAATCTGTTTGTGTGATATTTTTCATTATTATTTAATTATTATTGTATGTATTATCAGTGTTTGCCTGTTATTGGCTTCTTGCTGTTGGCAAATACTTAAATAAATGAGAATTGAATTGAATTATCAGTGTTTGCCTGTTATTGGTTTCTTGCTGTTGGCAAACACTTAAATAAATGAATTGAATTGAATAATAGGTTTAGTGTTCTCTTCATTGAAGACATCACCCTATACTGAATCAACAAACCTTAGGTTTTTATACTGAAAGACTTGGCTGTGATATTGCACAACAGAATCAAAGGAAACCCACAATTGTATAAAAGAATGAAGGCCAGGGGCTGGAGTAAGGGAGGGGACCCATGTACCCATGTTTTTTTAACTGACTCACCTTAATTTATTGCACTCATTTTAATTTACTGTAAAATTTAAGGCCTATCCATTATGAAACAAACATTGACCTACTCGATAAATTAATGAATGAAAAATGTGTCACACAAAGCTCCACAATGGTAATCTGTAAGTTAGAAACTTGATTTCAGATGCCATTACAGCCATGTTCCCAGTAAAGGTGAACTTGATGTGGTAGCCACTAACTCTTTCCATGCATACATAAATTAAAAATCACAGATACACAGAACCAAATACTGTGACTGGCACTGGAGAAAAGCAAATACTTGAAATCCATGGTTGTCAAGAGATTACTGTATGTACATCATTCTTTTTCTTTTTGTAGTCATCAATCCTAGGGTTGGTTTGCAACCCCATTTCAGGGTTGTTTCTTGCAAAGATACTACGGTGGTTTCGCCTTGCCTTCCGTGGCCAGTCTTTATCCATCAGACTGGAAGAGAAAGGACGCGGACAAACATCCATGCCTTGAGCGGGACCTGAACCCATGGTCCCAGTGGCCAGGCGCAAGAGGTCCATGCCTCAGACTGCGTGGCCACTGCGGCTGGCTTACATCATTCTACTAGAGATCATGCTGATACTACGATTTTAAAACCTCTGTTACCAAAAAAATTAAAATGTCAATTACTCAAACTGTGATATCAACATGCATAACACAATGCAGCATAAGTGCCTGAGGTTCTGAATATTCATGGATTTTTTAAATGTACACAAACTTACTTTTATATAAAATAAAAATGAGATACTGCTGTTCAATGCAAAGCAACATCTAAAGAGTTTCTGATACAGATGCTGTTTCTTGGTTTAGCAATACTTTGCTGCATACACTAACTACAGTGAAACCTCTATCCATCGTTCCCCAAACTATCGTTTTCCCGGATGCATCGTCCGTTTTGTTCGGTCCCGAATACATCCCATATAAAATAATGTTACATTTTCCCGCTTCTATCGTTCCTCGAACTATCGTTTTATCGCATCGATCCTTAAAAAATCTTAGTCCCAGCACACAATTTTCCCGCAATGATCGTTTCTGAGAAATTAAAATGCTGGGTTTTGAGATAAATTAATACCGAAAGACGCACAAAGATGTACCAAATATGTAAATGATATTTTAATATCTTATGTATAAATTTTATTTATATACAATTGTGATTAGACGGAAAAAAAACACGAATAATTAAATTTTAATTCACAATATGACGCAATTATATCAACTTATTATTACACTTTAGGAAAATTATATGCTGTTGAGAAATCAACAACTGCTGCACAAGAGCCACAGTCCACATTTGAGTAGTGCTAGAGTTAGGAATAAAACACTAATGAGTCTGAAAGTTAAAACATTAGGAAAAAAAAACAATACAAAATCCAGAGCTCAGCTAACATTTCAAAAGCTGGGTTCTGCACCTATCACCAGGTAAAAAAGACGACTTGGGAATGTGAGCCTTATTTCTTATAAATGGACTTGGTGGTCAATATAACAACTATGAGTTATCTCCTGCAGACGATCATCACTGTCTATGGGTCTTATGCTGGGAATTTCAATGTCGTTATTTTTATTGTCCAAGTCTGAGGCTAGCTATTGATATTCCATTGCATCAACAACCATGAAAATGTGTCAGTTTTTAACAGTGTGGATTGGTTACGTTCATGTACCCATACATCTGAATTATCCCTCCTACAAACTAAAAAGTGTTAGGAAATGCAAAAGCATTAACAAATTTAGAAAAACAGCTCAAGAGACAGCATGAAACATAATAACATTACGTAATATTTGAGATGATGATGATGACTGTTATGATAATAATAAAAATATAAATTAGAGACAAAACATTTAAAATTATGTATCAATCATGACCCATGGGAACACAAAACATCTATCATGTAATACCAATTTCATTAGTCTTTTTCGTGTAATGTTCCTAATATAGGCATTAAAAATGGTTACCAGGCAACGAAGTTAATTACCAGATAAATAGATAAAGCAACAAGGAAAGCATTTGTGATATTCTGTTATCTGTCAATAACATGAAGGAACTCACATGCAAAATAAGATCCAAAACCTGTGTTCTGCCACTGTCTCTTTTCTTTCATTGTTTTCCTTTTTGACCAATCTGAAAAATACCAACAGAAAAAAAATATTACTCAAGGAGATGGAATGGCGAAGAATTTTAAGAAAACACAAACCAAATGCCACTCTGTTGCCTACAAATTCAACATAAAGTGCCATAAAATTTAATTCTGGTATCCACAGTAGGCAGGATCTAAATGTGAGGAATGTATGACTAAACAATATCTAGAAGTAAAAATTTATTGGGACAGATTTAAATTCACTAATAACCAATCTGTGCATTGATACGTTACCCTTTAGTATAGCTAGCAGTGCCAAAATAAAAGTTATTACGAAATTATGGATAATGTAATTACAGTGAAACCTCTATCCATCGTTCCCGGAACTATTGTTTTCCCGGATGCATCGTCCGTTTTGTTCGGTCCCGAATACATCCCATATAAAATAATGTTCCATTTTCCCGCTTCTATCGTTCCTCGAACTATCGTTTTATCGCATCGATCGTTCAAAAATCTTAGTCCCGGCCCACAATTTTCCCGCAATGATCGTTTCTGAGAAATTAAAATGCTGGGTTTTGAGATAAATTAATACCGAAAGACGCAGAATGTTTTTGGAATACACAGTAGCGGTAACCTGTGAGGAAGACGACGAATGCGAGCCCGAAGCTTTGCCGAGTTTTGCCGAAGCACACGCTGCATTGGCAAAAGTGAAGTCGTTCTTTTATGCCCATAATATTAGCGAACGTGACGAGGAAAACATTTTGAACGTGGAAAGTGCTCTGTTTGGTCTAAAACGTAAAGTTTCGACAAACCAGTTGTCCATTAAAGACTTTTTTGGTAAAAAGAAGTAACTTTGAAAGAGAAACATTGTTTTTTTTTTTAAATTTTTAATGCTTTCCCGCATCTATCGTTTTTATTTCCCACCCCCGCCGAAAACGATGCATCGAGGTTTCACTGTAAACTTGTAATTTATGTTTAAAATGCATTTATAAATACTGTTTTTATTTCTACTGCTTTTGAGTGAATTGCACAGGAAAGACATACCCAAGTCTGGTGACAAGAATGGCTGTGTTGGGTGAACTGTCACTATCATCGCTTAATGGTGACAAATGTAACTGCTGCAGCAAGTTATTGAATGCCCACAAACGTTCCTGAAATAAAATTTTTCAATACTGCATTCTACAATTTAAAACATAATTAACAAAAATTACATTAGAATTAAGTCTCATAAAACTTTGTTCGGTCAAAACAGAATTTTTAATGTATTCAGATACAGAATAAAAATGTATGTATTTTTTCAAACATAAGCCAAGAATTCAACCCCAACTATGCAACTTTGAAATTACAACTCTGCCAAAACTAAACTGTATGTTTTAAAGAAGTCTGAAACAATAAATAAAAGTTAAATTAGGTTTACACACCTCTCGGCCCGAATTTAGTTCAATCCACTCAGACTGTGCATGTTTTAAATGGCTTGGTGTTGAAGTGGCAGCAGGGGCCTGACCCTGTCTACTAAGGGCCACTGCTTGCCTTGGAGCAAGTACATTCCGAGAAGCTCCTAATGAAACTAGACAGCATAAAAGAACAATATTACCAATAAAGAGACAGAGACTGATCAGTTCAGATTGATTATTTTGTGACACTGTTTCAAGTGAAGATGTTGTATAGTGTCAAATGACATGGGAATAAGAACATTAATCCTTCAGCAAGCAAATTTAAATCCCTCAGTGTTCTGTGTTGTGTATTAGTATTTTTACGAGTCCATTTAATTTTTGCAGTAAAATTTTTAAACTGACATAATATTCAATCTGTATTTTAAAAAATGACAGCTCTCTTCTAGGTTATAGCACCATATAGTCTGGTAAAAGTTTACTATCGTTCCATCATCCTGATGATGGAGGTAGCAAACGCCCCTGAAATGCTGGCAAATTCCTAACAGACAACGTGGTGCAACAACCCAGAAGACAGTCATCTGCAATATCTATAGTTTAAAAGTTATAAAATTAGAGCTGTTCAAGGCTTAATTCAGCATCTCTGCATTACTTTTACATGGAATCAAATTACCTACCAAGCTCTGAGTTTCTGCTTACTTCAGTAAACTGTGATTTAGTAGTCTAGAAAGAGATTAAACTTTTCACAAGTTTCTCAACAAGCAAAAACAACAATCTTACCAGCCACACATCACAGATACAATAGAGTAATAACACTTCAGGAAAGGTTACTTGTTTCTGATTGTTTTAAAATTACACTTAAAAGCATATGTATTCAATGTTATTGCTCAGCAGCCAACATTCCTGCCTGTATTCAGGAGGTCCAAAGTTTAAGCTCTAGCCTGAAGGCATGATCTTGTAGTAACAGATTTTTGTGGTTATCCAGTCACTAGAGGCAAATTCTGGGACAGAATCTTAAAACAGGCCTTCGACATCCTCAAAAATTAATCTTCCCAGCAACAAAACATGAACAACTGAGAAATAAGAATAAGAAAACTGTGACGTATCCAAATGTAAAACACACTTAATGGCAAAAATTACAGACTAATAAGGAGAGGACACTAATGAATATGATGATTACCTTTTGGTGCTGTGAGATGGACACCACAGCCTGATTTTGTATGAGATGAACTAGAGGAGTTGCTGGCCAGACCCTCTGGTCCACTTGAACTCTGGGCTCCTTCATGATTTGAATTCGATCGACCAGATACCAACTGTGCCACGTCCAACTCCACTGTATCCAGAACACCTCTATCAGTCACAAATGTATGTTTTACAGTGCGACTGCCTTGTGAACTTTTAAACCCAGACCCTATGCATAAAAAATGAATAACAAAAATTACACTACAATGTCTGTAGAGCCAGTGGAAATAAAATATTAGGGCACTGTACTGGACTTCATTATAAGGGCTAATAGAACATTTTAATGCTACAGATTTTGGCAGATGTGATGGCATTTTACCAGGAATTCCCTTTGGAACTACATAGGGAATTTATGTTCTGATGCTTTCATGGACATAATGCGAGAGTGACAATGTACAGATGGGGACTGAATTGGAGTTTGATTAAGCATGCATCATACTAGAAAGCATTTTAATGTTTTCATTTTTAAATAATATTTTGTTAAAAATCTTTACTCTAAGAATTCTATGTACATTAGTCATACTTTTAATTTTCTTACTAGCTTTATTGTAGGGTGATGCTGTCCAAGGTGACGATTCAGAAATGGTAGAATTATTTCGATCTTGCATTTCAAACAGGTGAAGAAGCATTATTTCATCCTCAAGACTCTCTGACAGTGTGTTTCTTGACATTCTAGTAACAAAGTACAGAAACATGTTTACAAAATACAAAATTCTGGAAAGCATATCACAAATAGACTTATATTTGTATGTATAATTACCAGACCTAGCTCTTCTGGTTCCAGTAAAAACAAGACTGGAAAGGCAAAATTTGCTATGGAGTACACAGTTTCCACATGCATCCCTTGCACCTTGATATTCTGAATGCTCCTAGCTGTGTGTGTGTCTAAATGTACGTCAAGAGAACATTTGGACTGAGTTAACACTTTAATCTTATAGTGAATGCACTGACAGCAACCTTAAATGGTTAATTATTATGTGTTCAACATACTGCACAAAGAAGAGTGAACAATAAATCCAATACAACAACATTTCAAGTATCAGTTATACATGGCTGCAACCAATATCCATGTGCACTATCTCTTACACTACAATGTAGCTAATGTGTTGGTTTTTGGGCTCATAACACAGACGGTCATATGATTAAATCACACTGAGGTCACATTTTTTTATCATTGCCTGTCACAGAATGACAACTGTTACAGTCATTATGTCGTCTGGAAAATGTGTATTCAGATTACCTATGTTAAATTGGTCAGATACAACCTCAAAGTTCTACACTGTTTGTAACTGTTAACTTACAAACAATATTTAATGCATAATTTGTCAAGTATGCTTATGATATAACTCCATACAAAATTTCATATACCTAAACCAATGGTAAATGAGTTATCAAATTCAAAATAAAAGTCAAAGAAAATGTTCACATGATCACATTCTACACAAAAATTACCTTAACAAAAGTTGCACATTTTTTAATTATCTATTGCCATATACCATATGACAACCCTAGACAGAGTCTGAGTGACACTAGTATCTTTAAAATCACAAGTTCACATGTCTGCCATGATGTAATTGCTGACTGTAAGAGTTTGGGGTAACCCATCAAAATATGTCTAGTGGTTCTTCAGTTGATATATGAGGACATGATAAGCCCTACATGAGTTCATTTTATGCACAGGTCATTCACACATATGTACTAAAGTAAGCCACTTCATGCGTCAATGTTGGTACTTAGGGGAGAGGAGGAATAGCTCCTACTCATTCTTAACCTTGGCATTAGAAGGGTGTGAGAGGTCAGCAGCACTTTACCCCCAGGAAATAATCCTAGTACCCACTGGAAATGAGGCTGGGTAGGACCCAGAGCCAGTCTGGACACACAGGCTACAAGAAAATCCTCTGTGCCTGTAAGGGATTAAACTCCACCGTTTCTTCAACGTTTAAAGTTACTGAACATTTATTTATGTCATAACACTTGTGCTGAGTACCTAATGAGTGTTAGATTTTTGTAATAATAAATGACCAGCTTTCACAGCTTAACTATTGTTATTAATTCACAGAATGAGTGTTTTCACATCTTACAATGTTTTTTATAGAGCATGCATTGCACTGTCTAAGCTTTCTGTAACTGGAGATCATCTCTGTTGAAAGAAAATAAAGAAAAATCAATTGGTTAAAACAGTTATTCTTTTACAAAATTTGGCTAGGGAAAGTTAGTTATCATTTACCCAGTTCTCAGGTTTTCTGTTCTGTATGCACAGCCTCCACTAGTTGCAAGCTGCCACTTCCCAACTGCTTGCAGCAGTATATTACCAGTAGTTTCCTAGAATGGGTATTCTGACACTTACCCTGCATGCCCAGTACTTTGATCTGTCACTGCTTCTCGTTCTCTGAACAGAACTGACTGAGCAGCCAATGAATATTCCACATCATTTTCTCCTATGATGACAGAAACAAACATAATGCCAAGTGTTAGAATAAAAAATATAAACATTATTTTGAAATACAGTACAAGTTGATCTGTTTTTATATCACAAGCACAGCGATAATTTTCGTCACTTTCCTTTTTACTAACATGTGAGTTTAAGATACACTAAAGTTTCAGAATACTGTATGAATACAACTTCCATTTTGCTTTCAAGTAGTTAACATCCTGATGTAATTTATATAATAAATTAATAACTCTATAACATTCACCTAATAATTTAATATATCCATTTGTCTTATATAAAACATTTTATTGTTAGGGCAGAAAAAAATATTCATACATATATATTAATTCAATTCAATTCATTTATTAAAGTGCTTAACAACAGCCAAAAAGGCCAATAACAGCCAAGCACTAACAATACAAACATTACAATACAAAAACAAACAAACAATAAACAAATATATAAATGTACAGTGTTAATTTATTACAAAATAATTAATAAGTAAATGAACTAAATATACCCAAGTAATATAATTCAATTAATAATACCAAATAAAACAAAACAGAAAAAACTTATAAAATTAATATCACAAAATAAAATACAGTCAACACAGGAAATGAATAAACAAAAAAAATCGATGATTATTATTTAAAAAGCTGACTGACATCCGTAAGCAAAATACGATCTTTGTTAAAGATGTTGATGCCCCTACAGACTGCATTGGCAGCAGAAACACATCTGGCAAAGGGACTGGCCTTGAAATTACATTGTACAGTAAAGGTAGAGTAGTCTCTGATAGACCTAATGGGTATACAGAAACTAACTGTATCAAAAACAGATGAGCAAATAATTTTGCCTTTAAAAACATTAATGAGGAAAAGCGCATCCAAAAACCTCCTCCTTAAATGTAACGATAAGAAATTTAATCTAACTAATATATCATCATAATTATATGCACAAACGCCATTAAAGAATCTAGTGTAACATAGAGCTACAAATTTCCTTTGAATCCTTTCCAATTTAAAGGAATCAGTATTAGTAATAGAGTTCCAAACGGATGCATACTCAATTTTGGAACGAACGAAAGTACTGTACAAAACCAATAGGCTATCAACAGTGGAGAAGGAAAAAGTAATATACCGAATCAAGCCAAGCATTTTTAAGCTATGTGAATATATATAGCTAATGTGCTGATGAAAATAAAGCTTACAGTCCAATAGAACACCGAGATCTTTAACACAATAAGAACATGCCACCAGATTGTTACACAATTTGTAATTAAAGTAAATACTGTTTGTCTTTCGGGTGAACGATATAACAGTCGTTTTACTTAAATTAAGTTGCATCCCATTAACAAGACACCAATTATGCAATTTTTTTTAATAAAGTTGGGAGAGAAATTACTAGAATGGCATGGGTAAGTAAAAATAATGAATAGAATAAGCACACTGATAGGGAAACTCAAAATAAATTTTGAATGAGGAAGACCCATGGAACTATTCAGAACAAAATATTTTAGTAAAGTACTGTAAGTCATCAAGATAGGATAAATGGGATATTAAGAAATTGAAATGGATATATTATCAGAAGATAGAAGAAACTGGACATTTCGTCTTTTTTGGAACAACAGCTGTTTGTTTCCACAGGGACGGAAAGGTGGCACTATTTATACTTAAATTAAAAATATAGGTTAATAAGGGAGTAAAAATACCAGAACAACCCTTAATTACTAACGAAGGAATTCCATCTAACCCCACACACTTTGAAGGTCTGAGGCGCTTGATCGCAAGAAATCTGAAGTAACAATATCCGTAAGACTAACGGACCGGAAAAAAGTGTTAAAAATTGATTCAAAATAGGTAGCAAGTTCATCAGGAATATGTTTGGGGTCAGTGACAAACCGATCACTAATTTTTAGCTGAATAAAGGAATTATCTTTCCTTTTGAAATCTGAAACGTATTTCCAAAAATGCTTAGGGTGTGTTTTAAGACTGTCATCAACACCTATCAAACTTAATGGTTGCCTTAACTAATTTGCGAAAGTGCGCAAAATAGGTATAATGTTCATATGAGTTGGACTTTTTGAACCGACGTAAATAATGATTCTTTTTATTAATGTAATGTTTTAAGGTACCGGAAAACCAGATAGGAAATTTAGACTTACTAGAATGCTTATTTGGAATAGCTAAATTTATTGCATCAGTAACCACCGACTTGAGCTGATCTACGGCGGAGTCCACAGAGGACAGATTATAAATGCAGGACCAATCATAAGAGAATAAATACCTATAAAGTAATAAATAGTCAGCACGCGCGTAATTACAGGAACATCGAGAGGGCTGTGAATATATGACTATAATAAAGCCATTCATATTAAAAAATAAAACTGTAAATAATTTAAACAGGCCATTTACTAATGTATCAAGGACTTTCATCCCATTCTAATGCTTCTGATAAATTTAATCTTTTCCCTCATGCATTCCTTGTTTCTCCTTTGTACACTCTCTGAACTTCAGTTTCTGGTTCATGACCAATAAGAGTTTTCCACATGACTGTCCTCACTTTTGTTAGATTTACCTTGAAAAACAGTGTGCAGATTTGAAGGTAAAATATCAACTTCTCCTGTTAATTTGTTATATTACAGATAAATTCAAAAGATTTTCTACTTATAACCAACAAATAATTTACACGTTATCAACAAATTAAACTGATAAAATATCAAAATAAACAATTACTTTACATACACAGAGTAAACTGGAAAAAATTTGGAACTCCTCACCAGAGCAAAACACAAGCTGTCCAGGTTCATTTTAAAAAAAAACAAATCATTTTTAAAATGTAGTGCAAGTTCTAAATCACAGCCTCAATAATCCAGGCCACATTATTCACTCTCTCAGCTGCTAGAAAAATATAACCTTACAAACAACTATCTCCATAATGGGATATGCAAAACAAAAGTACACACCTCCCTGCAAACATTCAATCTGATTTTATGTTTAACAAAAGATTGTTTTAATCCTAAGATTCAACAATGAAATATTTTAAATCTTTAATACTTTCAGGTGAAAGAACATCCTTCAATGCTGATTCAGTATTTGTATTATATTTAACATATACTGTAATTTCTTGAATACCCTACATCCTCAAATAAACTATCCAGCACATTCTGTTAATTAAAAAATAAAATGTTTCACGGTATGTTTGTTGAAGTATCAAATCAAATATAAAACAAAGTATATTGTTAACTTAAAGTAATGTCCTTCACTTATTTCCATTACAGATTTAAATATAAAAGGATCTGACATCGTGTAACATAAAAATAGTTAACATAAACATCGGTCTACATAAATGTGTCCTTTTTCACATATATAAAATCATTTGAGATGAAGATAAAAATAAACATAAAGCACTAAGCACTTAAAACTACTTTGCTGTATCAACTTCTTCTTTATCCAGTATCTTATATACCTTTCACTGGCATTTTCTACTAGCAGTGAAATTTCTAATTTCTCTTGCCCCTTGAATTAGTTTGTTTTCACTAACTGTAAAGAATGTAAATAAATGCTTCTAGTATTTATGTTTAGCAAAATATGTGCACAGTACCTTGCAGATTAACATCCACTCATACCTTGCTGCTGCTCATAGATATATGAAAGAGAGAGGAAGTTATAAAGGTTGAGATGATACATGGAATGACTAGTGTAGCCAATCTCATCACAAATAGGATGCACACCCCAATTTTTGATCAAATTTTGTTTAAAAAAATGTGTCAGGGTATTCAACAAAGTATAGTGTCATGTACACAATACATCATTTTATGGAACAACATTTTCTTATATCCAAATACCCATAACAACTGCTACAGATGCTTTCCCAATCTTTCTGGCTCAGAATCAGTGGCAATTTTTTCCAAGATCAACATCCTTTTCTTCAGAGCTATATTTATTGAGGTGATGTGTATGCATTAATAATACCAATCTTGGTGGGATTTGAGGTTTTCATGGCAGTGAGTACAAAGATGGCTGTCTTTGGGGTTGTACTTCCATGTAGTCTGGTAGATGTTTACCTGCTGTTTAGCCTGGCAGACGTTCATCAACATTTCAGAGCTCCTTGCTGCCTCCAACATCAATACACTCATCACCCTGATGACGGAAGCAGCATGAATCTCTGATAAGTTAGTAAACTTCTACCAGACTACATGGTGCTACAACCCAGAAGACAGCAATCTTAATACCAATCTTGTTAAAAATGTCCAAAACATAACATAATTTTACACCTGAAATGGCTTACAATGCAATTTTCAAAGTCTTACAGCAGTTTGCAAAAATTGTTGAAGGTATGTTGTTAATTACATTTATAGATTTACTATGAAGATTCATTAGTTATATGAATCATATAAAGCACTGAACCTTGTGTTCTGTACTCATCCACATCTTTAACCACATTAAGCCAGTGACAATAACACTTTTCCTTTCCTATTCTACTGCATACTATCTTATTACTGGCAAAGTAATGTTAGTTCAAAACTTTTAAAGTATGTGTACTTACCTGACATAGTTTCATCATCAACATCATTCTCATCATTGGAATTTTCTTCCGCAGTACCAATAGTTGTATTATGGTTCTCAGAATCATCATTATATCCTTCGGGTTCACTCATATACTGTGAAGCAAAATCAAAACTTACTGCAAACAATAACACATAAAAAAAACCCTGGAAGAGTACATTTGTATGCATATTGCTGTTGTCTTCATCCAAGATAAATGTGACATCAGATGCCTACAATTTTGAAGAATTAAGACAATATGGCAGAAAGGGGGAAAGGAGAGATTCAAATTTGCCATTATGGAGAATCTGCGAGATTTGAGATTCTCATAGTATGAAAAATTTATCTTTTGAGTTGTTACACCATTTAGTCATGTAGAAGTTTACCAACATTTCAGAGGCACTTGCTGCCTCCATCATCAAGGTGATGTGTAAGCCATGTTCTTTAATTGTTCTGTTTTCTCCAACCATGTATCAGTCATTAACCAGAACAAATCTTACACTGCTACATTGTCTTATTTTCTTCAATGAAACACAGAACTTTAAGTTCAGGCAGTGCAAAACTAGTTCTCTATTTAACCATCTTGTAAAGTTGAGCCAAAAATATCTGTCACCAAACCACTATGCAGAATTATCTTAATTCTAGTGTTACAGCATGTGATTGTAACTGAATGTCTGTGCACTACCATGAACTCCAAATCTGACATAGTCCACATCAAAGAATATGTTATTCAATTGCTGCAACACTAGATTTTATTCCCTGAGTTACAAAAACACATTTTTGTTGAAGAAGACTGTCCTCTGGGATCTTGAACCATGTAGTCCTGCAGAAACCGACATTTCAGAGGTGCTTAATGCCACCATCATCAGGGCACCATCCTCAGAACCTGAAATCTCACATTCTTGTTGGTCTGCATAGTCCTGTCATCTAGTTTGTAGAATTTGAAGTTGCATGCAACTATAGATGCAACACTCTTGAAAATTTCATGTTTTAAGTGTGATTTTGAGACTTGCGATGACATTTACCACTTTCAAGTAGTAATAAGTATGTAAAAAGTTGTAATTATAATTTGTGTTTTAGTAACTTTGTGAGTTCTATTTATATATGTACATAATACCCTAGCCCTTATAATAGTTTAGATTTTTACCCTATAATGACTCTTTTAGGAAAGCAGTGAAAAAGTAATGCACATCAAAGAAGTTAACATACTTCATTGATATAAACAAGATTAGTGTTAATGACATTTATTATTGCCATGATGTATTACAAAGGATTAAATACCATACTAACACCAGGCATTTACATCTCATAACACAAATTTCACATGTTAAGTTAGTGATTCATCAGGCACTGTGATTGCATCAATCAATCATGGAATCTAGTTACTTCCATGCTTCAACACCTTAGACACTCTTAAACTAGTCACATCCTATTTAAGAAACACTGAGCTACAATGGTAAGATGTAAGACTGACGTCTGAACTTTGCCCACTGCTCTCTCCCTTGGCCAAGTTGTTGGTCAATAGCAACTGGACACCACTAAATCAATGGACATATGTACAAGGCTTGTTCAAATAAAATCTGTTTGGGGACTGTTCCAGAAAACAAAGATGTGGTTAAAAATAGTGCAGGGACTGGAATACCATTAACAGACCAGGTAATGGATCCCCTCTGTAAATAATTTCATAGGCTGCTGCTGCTGCAGCAACTGCACCACCGCAGACACAGTATCTTCATCTGAGTCAAATCTTATGGTCCTTTAGCATCATCCTGAATTGGCTAAACACATCATAACAGAACCAGCTGTATGAGGGATGCCCCAACACATGCAGCATGTCCTGGACAGTGTGATTCAATGGGGACAGGTGTGTCATGCAATGAGACAACAACCCTTGTGAGCATGATGGGCCTCTTTCTCTTGATGATGGTATGAAGATCTTAAAAGTGTTCAATACACACTATGCCTTCTCCCATGAATTTCAGTTGGTTTTCAATCCTTGGCACCAAGAAACCAAACAACCTTGGTTCTGTCTGGATGGATTTTGCACCTGGAATGCCAGCAATTATGTGTCACACTATTCCCATTTTCTATAATACATCTAATTTGTCACACAGCTTGTGGTTGACAGTTGGTGTGTAATGAACACAGCCATGTCATCGACGACTGGCCATATTCGCTAGCACAGCTATGAATGGGTTTCACATAAACATCCTTCAAACATTGGCTAATCTGTGAAGATTTTGCTGAAAACAGTTTCAGAAATGTTGAATTTTTGTTCCATACTGATATGACTAACAGCCCAAGAAGATTTCACTGCAATAACAATGTTGTATGAACCAATTTTTCAGCATAAATATGTTGCAAATTTGTGCAAAAACAGACTACTAATACAGTCATGATTATTAAATGAAAGAAATGCTTATGAGAACATGCACAATATACAAAGAGAGTACTTTTTAAATGAATGAGAATATACTTTGTAATAACTTGACTTTATTTCAGTTACAGAAGTGCAGAGTAAAAAAAGAAGAAGAAAAAACGTATCTCGTATCAGTATATCCATGAATTTCAGTTTCCATACTCAGTCTCACACACACTCATGTTACAGATCTAAGAATCATAAATTGCTAATTAAAAATAATTACATGGCACTAAATTATGAGTGTTCTATTTACAAACGCCTATTCTATTATGTTAACATACCATGAGACTCTTATGAGCACAAGCAGAAAACCTTACCTCACTTTCACTACTGCTGCAACTGGACAAAACTACAGCAGTGTTAAGCAGATTCAGAGATGAAACAGATGTGGTGAGAGGTACCATGTGATGACTATCCTTGCTATCAGGTGAACTACTACCGTTACCATGGTGCTGCTGTCTTCTTGGTGCTACTACATTAGAATTTACATTCTTGCCACCTCGAGGGCAAGAAGAGCTTGACAGAGCATGAGCAGATGAATCATTTGGTTGCACTGGGATGTTTATTAAGTGGCAAGAGGGATTAGTTGATGTGTTAGGTACAGCAGCTGCATTCACAGCATCTGGTGTCCTGCATTAGAAGAAAAGTATTGATATAAAACACATGAATAAATTTGAAAATTACACAAACTACAATCAATTTTATGCTTAAATAAAATGAACAAATACACACAGACTCATCATAAGAGACTGATCAAAAGACATAAGAAACCATCATATTAAGACAAAAAGAATATAATGCTTTAACAATTTTAACATCTACTCTGACTCAAATTTTACACTCTGAAAACTATCCAAACCATCAACCTGCTGCAGAAAATCCTGTAGTTTAGTAAATTCTTCACACAAAAAAATCAATGAATCCATCAAATTAGTTTGCAGAGTAAATGTATTTAAATGACTCTACACACGTACAATGCTGACCTATGGGTATTTTCAACAAACAACTTGTATGCAAAAATTTATGTAAATGTAAATGCAGAACTTATAAAAAGTTTTAAATTGCAGTGCTAAGGCTCCAGTTACTTACATTGTAAATTAAAAGTGGTACCATGAAACACACATACAGAGCATTAGCATATACAGTGAAACATTCAGTACAAAAGGTATTACACAAAATCATCTATAGTCAATTTTAACTACCTTCATTAAACTACCAAATGCTGTTAATTTGATAAAATTAAAGGTGTAAGTTTTGTCTCTTGAAAAGTTTTGAGTTTTATCTCATTATCACTATTGAAGCAGCTGCTGATAAACAAAAATTAAACACAAGTTCCAAGGCAAACAAATAAGCAAAATTGTTAGCATAAAGTGCAAAGAAGGGGTCTGCTTTTATTTCAAGGTGCTGACTCAGTTTTTAAAGCAAACTATCTTCAGAAACAACGAGAAAAAAAATTCTTTCAAATGTCCATGAAAGAGTTCTATTATGTTTATCCTACTAACCACAATTCCATTCACCATTAATCTAAATACTCATGAGCAGATCATATTTTAAAGTACTTAAAGCTGGCAAGTACATTCCATGTTGTCAACAACACAAGCTTCCAAAATGAAAAACACCATAAATTGTTCATGCGCTATATACAATCACCACAAATCTCAGCTGTACAAAATACTTATCATTTTCCACCCTGTTATGTATTATTACATGGAAATTAATTAAACTATTATAAATTTCTGTTCTTTAAAAATTTAAGAGTAATAAATAGAAACCGATTACACTTGGTGCACATTTATGATAAACTAAAAAACTCCAATAAATTTGTCATATTATACTTTTCATAATGCAATATCACTTTCCTTCTTATTCACCGTCATCCAACTATATGATTCTTACCACACTTAATGATAGTAGAATGGCAAGAAAACTTGGATTAAGTAACAAGGCAATTTTTTGTAATATAAGAAACATACCAAAACTGAATATTCTTCTTATTCTCATTCTTCAGACTAACCAGTTTACAATATACGAGCCTTCTGAAAGATGTCACAGCCACAGCATAACTGATATGGGGTGAACTTTAATCAAAAAGGGTTACCCAATATACTCTAACCTTAATGGCAAGGATCCAGACAATGCAGAAGGCTCCAGCAGATGTATGTTCAATACAGAGTTACCACTAACAGGTGAAATGACACTTCCAGAAGTTCCTGAGTTGATAGCATTGTCAGGAACATTACTGCCATTAGCACGAGTGGCAGTCACATTACTCCGAGAGATTTCAATAGCAAGTCTCTGAAAAGAGAAATGAAAATATACATATATAGACATACTCACTTAGGTAACATTCCATCAGAATAACACTTTTAATTCCAAAATTAAAATCAAATTTAATTAAAATGGGTACAGGTAGCTCTCGATTTGAGCCAATTCAGAATAACGCCGATTTTGAAACCAGCAAGTCAAAAAGTGAGAATTTTTTTTTACTGTTATTTATAACGTTTTACAATGTTACTCGTACTGCTTCTTATTCTAAATCATAATTCTTACATCGCTGATTTTTGAATTTGATTGATTGATGTCCTGTCGCTCTTAGCCAGAGCATAGGGCCTCGACAAAGCAGTGCCAACGAGTTCTATTACGAGCCAGAACTTTCAGCTCCCTCCAGATCTTTCCTTCCTTCTTTGCCTCCTCTTCAATGGTTCTCCTCCAGGTTGTTTTTAGCCTTCCCCTCTTCCTCCGTCCCTGGGGATTCCAGGAGAGTGCTTGCTTTACGACAGCGTTTTGGTCCTTCCGCAGGGTATGTCCAATCCACCTCCATTTTCTGCTCTTAATTTGTGTGGCTATTGGTTCCTCATTTGTTTGTTTCAAAAGGTCTTCATTTGTTATGATGTTGGGCCAAAACACGCGAAGGATCCTTCGGAGGCAGCGGTTGATGAATACTTGGAGACACTTGGTGATCTCAGCAGTGACTTTCCAAGTTTTACATCCGTAAAGGAGCACAGCTTTTACATTTGTCCTGAATATCCGTAGCTTCGTCGATAATGAGACCTCTCGCGCTTTCCAAACGGGATACAGTTGGATAAAGGCTGTATTTGCTTTGCGGATTCTCGCCTTGACATCTTATCCAGCTCCTCTGTCTCTGGTAATTACGCTGCCGAGGTAAGTGAATTGTTCTACCTTTTCTATGCCTGTACCATTCACTCGAAGTCGGTTTACATCCCTGACATTGAGCTTCATGTACTTGGCTTTCCCTGCATTTACTTTGAGTCCCACTGTTTTGGCACTCTCTTCTAGGTCTTGCAACTTCCTCTCCATGTCTGGTTTTCCTACAGGAGACAGATATCGTCAGCAAAATCTAAGTCTTCGAGTCTGTCAGTAAGACCCCACTGTATGCCTCTTCTTTTCCTTTCTGTGGCGTTCTTCATCACCTCGTCCAGTACTAGGAGAAAGATTGTCGGCGATAAAATGCACCCTTGCCTCACTCCAGATTTCACTTCAAACGGATCAGAGACTTTCCCCTCATGAATTATCCGACATGTATAGTTGTTGTAATTTTGCTGATTTTGAATAAAAACTATAAATACAGTCATCTCTGCAATTACCTATGTTTCGTTAACGCGAATTTACTCCAATGAGATCGATGAATAGGTAAAATATGTTTGTGAAATGCAAACTTTCGCATATGCAAGTTTGCTCTTATGCAATTTCATTCCTGGCGCTTTAAACTTTGAAAGGATCAATTTAATCTCTGCGGAGGTACCGGGGTTATTTTTACTACGCGATTTTCTATAGGTCGGCGTCTTACATGAATGCAACTATTGCATAACAGCAGAGATGACTGTAGCACATCAATCACATGAAAGAATCGCAGTCAATCGCGGGGACCAACAAATTGCCAATTGTAAGTGTATAAAATATATTTTTTAAATTCACTTTATTTTATTTACGTTATTTCAGAGCTTTAAATGTAAAGCCATTATATTACTCGTCAATATTTGGGTGCTGGGAACGCATGTCATAGACTTCCAATTGATTTACATTACAAAAGAGCTTCAATTTACGCCGGTTCGTCCAGGAACGCATCCCCGGCGTAAATCGAGGGCTACCTGTATTTTGAACCTTATTTCCATTAATGTGACAATAACTTTGATAAATATTTCAAAAGTGAATTACATACACTTTATTTTATGTGTATCAAATTTTGGAAACTCTTCATTCCTTTCTGAAAACATATATACCTACATACTTCAATATCTTAAATATTTGAGAAAATATTTCCATATATTTTATGGGGTAAGCATGTCCTCTTGTATCTGTGTCCACTTTATTGGCACATTAATTTGTCCATAACTCGATTTCTCAGCCGTTGTCTGAATGGTTGATCATTTGACACCTTCATTTCTGATACTCTTAAAAACAATCCAATGTCAACAAATAACATACAACTGTAACACTGTATCCTTAATTTTACTATTTTCTCTTGCAGTGTATCTGCTTTTAAATCTAGGAAATACACAGAAGTAGGAAAAAGCTTTTGTCATAAGATAATACATCCTGCTTGAAATGTCAGCAGATGATATTTCCACGACAGTTATGAAACTGTGTACACAACTGAAATGTATACGTAGTACTAAAGTAAAATATCTTGAGTGTATAATTGTCCTTATCTCTGCATGAATCATGGAAATATGATGAAATTCTTAATGTTTTATAGAAAGTACTTTAGATCACAAATGTAATACGCAAACAACTTTATGTCTTCCCATAAATGTGTTTTCCTGTTTTTTCGTAATCCTCAAGATCATCTTCAGAATTCAATGTAACTGCAACCTAATTTGTTGGTTAATTCATTTTTTTTGTGTTTAACTTATTTTGTTTTTTGTTTTTCACAACACAAAACAGTATTTCATTGGTAATATGGTAAAGGCTTGATCAAAAAGTTTGGTAAATGAAGTCACCAGGACAGGATGCATCGGAATGGGGAAACTGTGGCAGGTGGCACATGTGACAGAAACCCTTATGCATGAGCACACAAAGTTCCTATTGGAAAACACCCTCAGATGCACTGTAAAGCTGTATGAACACATTTGTTTCATTTGGTACAAAATAGTGAAATTTCTGCAATGTGCAAGCATGCAATAGTTCTGAACCTGGCATAACATTTACAGAAATGCATTCTGAATTTTTTCTCCAAAGGTCAAACAATGAATTCAGCATTTTACAAAAATGTCTTGCAAAGTCTGAGAGAGGCCTACAGTACAGTAGTGAGGGGGGGCGGGCGGGGGGGGGGGGGGGGCAGAACAGTTGGATGCATCACAACAATGTGCCTTGCTACACACTGTTCTCCATCTGCCAGTTTTTGATGGGTAAAAATATTCCAATGTTACCACAACCAGTCTACTCCCGATCTGTCATCATGTGATTTCTGGCTGTTCACCTGATTCAAAGAAATGACAAAACAGGAAGTTATAATACCATGACTGAAGACATCACATTATTTCCAACATGACACACTGTATGCAGGTGATTCCAAAAGAAGACTTTCAGAGATGTTTTGAACAGTGGTAGGAACAACGGATCAAGTGTTTATGTGCTAAAGGGAAGTACTACTGTGAAGAGGGTTGAAAAATTAAATAGGTATTCAATAATTCACCAAACTTTTTGGTCAAGTCTTGTATATGATAGTGAACATACATACCTCTTTTAATTCATTGATTTGTGTAACATACTGATTCTGTACTGTTAACAGCTGACTAATGTACCAATGCTGGTCTCGACAGCGCTGGAAAAATGTTGGAGGACGCACTTGAAACCTAAATAAAAAGTTATTGTATGTTACTGAGTATAGAGTATTCTGCTTTATTTACCTGAAGTTCCTACATGGACTGAAGGAACATAAAGCTTCCATGTTATATACCAATAATGATTCATTAATATCACTATTTGAAAGGATTGTAAATACAGCTGAACCTGTGGATGTTAAAAGAAATTTACATCATCAGGGTTGAAGACACTGTCCCAAAGTCAGACCTTGTGTCCTCACTTTGGGAAGGGGGCAATATACATGTCAAGGACTGCATTGTCAGGTTGATATATAGTATAGACTTGTCCCTGGCACCTCATAGGTAGCTGAGATTACCTGATAGAAACTCTGAAAGAAAGGAAAAAGGGGGTATGGTAAAGCTGCATTAGGCCCAACACACCAACAATGGATAACTATGTGAGATGCCTGGATCCAAAGAAAAGAGACAAGACATATTACAGGACTGAGATTAGGGACATTAAATACAGCAAAATTTTTGGGCTGAGTACACAGAATGTATAGAACAAGAAAGTAACTGAGGGAAGAGCATAAGATTATGGTCCATAATGAACATTGAGAAAATAAATGGGATAGCAATCATTTTAAGTTGAACGTGCATGCACACACACACACACACACACACATAAAACTTTATACAAAATGAAAGAAAATGAACTTCCTGCAGATATATACACTTCAAACACGATGTAGTATGGAGGAGAAAGAAAAATAAATTATAGAAACCAAAGAAAATGGGGAGCTCATCTGTATAAGGGGTGACTTTAATGTTCAGATAGAAATGGACATGAGGACATAAAGTAGACATACGAAGGTGAAGAAATACTGAAGATAATACCTTATTAGACATGTGTAACAGAAATGACAGGATAATGGCTGGTTCCAAAAAGGAGAAGTCACAAGACAACATGCTACAATTAGGATGAAAAATACGGGACCACAACTGAACATTTTGTAATGATAAGAAATCGCTGTAATATTCTAAACAATACCAAAGTAATATCAAGCATAATTTTATTGAGCTCACAGAATCCTAACTGCAGACTTATAGAAGGATAATGAATACAAAGCCAATTCTATATCATGAGGAAAAAATCAAAATATGGAAGCTAAAAGATTAGGACAATAAAGAAAATTCATGGAGTTACTAAAGACCAAATTACCAAAGATGAAGTACAATTAATAAAATAAGAATGGGAAAGTTGGGCATGTGGAAAAAAAATTGGAGCAGAAGACACTAGAACAGACAGAACATAAGAAGCCATAATGAGGAAAAATAATGTTTGGAGGGAGTGAGTCAATGACAGAACTAAATGTATGATTACATTTCAGAGAGAGGGAAAAAGACATGGGAAAAATTTGATTGATTTAAAGTAAAATCACAAAGGAAATAAAGAATTATATGCAGTAATGTAAGATTAAATCAAAAACTGAATTAAATGGTATAATAGATAAAAATGTAAAGTTGGCCTAGAAAAAAAATACATATCTTAGTACATGGATGGAATCCTTAAAGAATTTAACCCATTCAAGACACTCTGGGTATAGTTGTAATCACATTAGGTTTCTGAAGCATTTAAAAGTACATTTTTATATATACATATTTATATATGTCTAGTGCCTGCTTTCTAAACTGCCCATATTTTGATAATCTACTGAGATATCACATTGCAACAAAAAGTATTTTCAAGATGTATGAACATAATAATCATTTGCATAAGTGCATTATTAGGTATGGATATTCTACACTTTTAACATTCAAAGAAAATATGAGTAAAGAAATGGCTAAATATGAATGTATTTAGCAAGAGGATATGTGTTTCAGATCTAGACACTTCAAGCTGGCAATACTGTAATTTATTTAACAAAAGCATAACACAGTAGATTGCTGTAATCAGTCATGTGTTTTGACCTTCTCTAGCCAATTAATGGTGCAACATAATCTATGAGTCACACAACATGTATATGAATTGGTCTTCAGAATATCAGCTCTGACATGTGTTGAGTGTTTTCACACCATTCATAGAAGACTACTACACTTCCTAAGAATGTTTCAGAAAAGACAGATAAACACAAAGTGATACATCAAAAGTCTTTACATTACCTTATAGGATGAATACATCCTAACAAATCAATTTAAAAAATGTATGGTGAGTTTCCCCCCCCCCCCCCCCCCCAACAAGTTGTGATTCCTTCTTCATAATAATAGTTATCCGATGCACGGGACTGAGCAGATACATTCACCTAATAAACACACAGTTTCACCTTGTCTTTCTAACAAATAGCACCTGTGCTGCCATGCTCTACATGTAAAGCCCCTATTCTTCATTTTTGTATCCTCTAACTCAAATATGTTTTTATTGTGAAGAAGTGTACTACAATGATTTGTTTTGATTATATACAAATTCAAAAACAGCTGAGGTGTTGAAAAATAATTGTGTTTGAACAACCTGTGTTCAATGCTTTAACATTTTTTAAGTGATCTTTGCTCTATCTGACACCTGCAGAAATAGTTTAAGATACTATCCAAGTGTTTCCCTGGAATGCTTAAGAAATACAACAAAAATTCTCAGTCAAGATATCCAGCTAGATTTTAACCCGAGACCTCCCAAATAAGAAGCACGAGTGCTATCACAACCCTGGGTATAATATGTTTTAAGTTTGCCTCTAAACAATGTCAGAAACAGCAAAATGATGAAGAACCTGGTTTGATATGTCATGATGTAAACAAAATAATTCAAATCACTATTGGAAACACTGAATTGAATTACTATATCCTTGTTTTCACTCTCTTTATCATGCCACACTTTATTTGCTGCAACAATATCATCCCTACATTTTATATTCTATTCTTTCCTTAAGGAATGTATGCTTACCTTAATATGAGTGTGTCAATTTCAGTGTTGAGATAGCCTTCACTAGCCAGTAAATCCAAACGAAAGAAACGATTATAACCCCAACACTCTCCAATTTCAAAATCAGAAGCAAATTCCCTGACAATGTTTTTACTAGCATCTCGAGAGCCTTGATGAATCATTTCCACACGATATTCGTATCTGGTCAATAAAACAATCAACTGTTAGTGAATGTATTTGGTAAAAACATCAAAATATAATAAATATTACAAAAATAATGTAAAGCTATCCCTCTATGTATCATGTAGGCACTTGGGAATAGAGGTATAGCTCCTATTTGTTCTCAACCTTAGTATTAAAGAGGGATGAATGGTCAGCGTCACACCTTGGCCACGCTTTAGCCCTGGGAAAGAACCATGGTACCCAATGGAAAGGAGGCTGGGTTGGCCCCACAGCCAGTCTGGACACAGAGACTATAGTAAAAATCCTCTGCCCTTGTTGGAGATCAAAACCCAGTCGTCCAGTCCATAGTTTGTCAGTATACTGACTGAGCTACCCTGTTTCCATAAGAAATATTAGTTTCAAGATAAAATTCTGTACTTCTGAATGAATAATCACATTTCAACTACAGTGACTATGCAGCACCAAGTAAGATGGATACGAATTTACAACATGGGAACCAATACAAATATGACTGTACTATTCCAACATTCATTTGGAAGGGCAAATAAAAACAATGACAATATGTAGTAAGTCACTTCTCTGGCTAAAATTCAAAATTGGCACTTCCTGGATTTTGGTGTAAATGCTAGGTTTACCTTCTTGGTATTCTATGAAAGATGTATTAAATTCTAGTCTCATAAGGATAGTCATAAAGCTAACATAACAAGCTTTTTGTGAAACTCTATAGCTATTTTATTTTAAAATAATTATAAATTAAATGTCTTGTTCGTGCACCAAATCAAATTCTTTTTTAAATACCCAGTTAACAAAAATCATATGGTAGTTCTGATTTATTTATTTATTTCCGTGTCTGGCAATGCCAATGGACATTCCAGTATTAGTGAGAGCAGTAACACTACACAATTTATACTCAAACCAGATTCAACTGCCATCTAGCAGTGAATCAGGAGACCTGGGTGAGAAATGGCCATTGAAATTTTGCTGATGAAACATCTTGTATCATGCTCGTTAAGGTTCTTTTATATACCGTAAATCTACGATATGGGACTGCCAGCTTTACTTCCCCTCCGAAGGAATTTTTGCTATGGATTTTATCACCCTTAAAGATCCATCGACCTTGGTCGGGTTTGAACCCGCGAACCTTGGGTCCAGTGGTGAGCACACTAACCACTAGTCCACCTAGGGCGACGGTAGTTCTGATAAAATCCTTTTAACAAAAAGTAAAATACTTTGACATACATTTACATATATGCAAGCGATATTCAAAATATGACAAGAAAACTGGAATGTCAACTGCCTAATCCTCTCACCAAAAAAGTGTAAAGAATGGTTTCCACTAAAGTCAGTTACTTAGTTTGACACTGCTCCAAGTTTCACATTGGTTAAAAGAAACTCTTCATATGTAGTTGGAAGGAGAAGTATAAGTAACTGCTGTGTAACAAATCAACACATCATATACTCACTTTGATGTTTCAGGTAGCCCAGCACTGAGCTCCAAGAAAACAGATAAATAATTCCCTCGAACAACCCCATTACCATCAGGATACACTTTAAGTCTCCAACATAATCCATTCACATGTAGAGGTGTTGAATATACAGGATCAGCCTTATGTTGCAATTGCGTAAACTGCTGCATTATGAAAGTACTACTGTCGTAGCCAGGGACAATCTCACTGGAACATGAATCACAACTGCCTACAGCTGTTGGACAGTCAATGGTTTTAAAGTCATATCAACTGCACTGGTTTTTCCTATGTATCAACATAGTAAACTAAACTTAAAAACTTCAACCTATAAGCTAGCAGTAGCACTTTCCACAAAACATTATACATATTAATATATCACTATGATTCAGTTCATGATAAATTAGGCAGTGCCATTTCCTGTAAACTAGACAATGGTTATGCTGTCAACTTTCAACCTTTATCTGCCATGCATCATGACATAATCTACCTGGCTGTGCAATGCAGTAGCATGCTGGTATACCATTAAACCCTGAAGTTAAAGTACAGATGGTAGCCTCATAGTATGGTATTTATAACCCCCCTCCCATTCTCATACAACAAAGGTTAATTAATATAAAGAATATAGTTTTCCCATCTCTCAAATGTAAATGCCATATGTTATAAGTTGAAGTATAAGACCTATGAGATGCATCACTCCCCATCCTCCTATAGCTGTTGTGGAAACACTCCATAATTGGTTTAATGACAATCACAAAATACTCCATAACTGTTTTAATGACAATCAGTGGTGTGCAATACAAATTATAATTACCCAACTTTAGGTGCCTACATAAGGCTGAAATTTACAAAAGACAAAATAAATATTTTGTAAGTGACAACAACAGTAGGCAAAATAGAAGGTCAATATGTATGTTACGATGAAGTTCAAAATTCTTTTCCCTCTACACCGGAGAACCATAATGCCACATTTTTGAATGCCTTGTTCATCGTGTAAGGGCAAGTGAACTGACCTCTGGAAATCCGCAGGTACAGCTGCAGTTACAAAGCTTGCCATAGGCTTCTTCCGTACTTGATAGATCATACGTAAAAGGTCACCACTCTTTGTGATAAGTTCAGAGCGTGTACAAGAATTCAGCTGGTGTTCAATTTCTTGGAGCAAAGCTTCTAACTGTTCTGTTTCCTGTGTTAGTGAATTTTTCTGACCCATTAGTGTGAGTAGCTTAGCCTTAAGTTGAGAATCCAGGCGAGCAATCATCAGCTCCACTGCATTACGTATTTCACGTACACGCTCATCTTTGGCAGCACGTACAGATTCCACATTACGTTCCTGATAATACATAAAGTATGATTAGACAAGAATCCACTAGAGTAGACAGAAAATAGTTACAAACCAGAAGCTAACCTGTAACACATAAGTAGATACAGATATTGCTCTATTGCATAAAATCATGGATGATAACGTACTTAATGACATCTGCCAATAAAATAGACATCAAAATAGTTTTTATTTTTTCAGCAACTTCATAGATTTCCAATAAGCAATCCTATAAATGACTGCCATCTTGCAGAAACTTTAGACTAGATGCATTACTCATGTCAGAGAAGTTGCCAAACTTACAAGGTACTGAAAACTGATTTTAAACACAGACTTGGCTGAACACACAGACACCTAAGGTTTGAAAGCATGACAGCAACCCTCCCCCTTTTAACAAGGTTCTTTCTTAGATTATCCTAAAAATTACCTCTTATGGCTGTAACAGTTTATCTCTCTACTTTCTTAGAGGATTGGACAATAACAGAGCCCTCAAACTGAGGGACTAGAGAAGAGAAGGATAACATTCATTACCTACAACTACTCAGTTTAGAATAAGAGATTGCCTTTTTAAATTCTAAAAAGTATTTTTTTTTCAACAACCACCATTAAGACTACACAACATAAATGATGATTAATGTATAACAGACTGGCAACTACATGGAAAGAAACAACTGTCACCGAATTGGAAGTTCTATCCTGGCATTTTCTTGGAGGGATGAAAACCTTAGTCAGGATAGCTGGTCCCTAGGAAGAGAGTAACTCTTGAAGTGTGGAAGAAAGAATAGATAAATCTGTATTTTTTAATCTTCTCAAAAGATTAATTAAAGCAAAAATCCACTGCTAATAACATGTGGATGTGGTCACATGATTACATATTCTATTCCTTTGTATGCAAAAAAAGGTAATGGATTTTAGGTTTGAGACCCATCACTTCCTTCACAGCACTGTAAATGTAAAACGTCTTATCCACTCCGAACAGCAGAAGTTATCATTTCCCATCTCGTTTTGTAGAATTATGTACAACTGATCAATATTTCAACATAAACAGCTGTTGCTTACCTGTATATTCAACAATATCACATAGGTTAGGGATATCAAATGTACAAAGTCACAAAAGATGGTCAGCCCCACCCTCCTAAGTTGTAAACCAGTGCTCAATTCAGAGTCTAGCCTTCCCCTAAAATTTACGACATTTACAACACTTCTTATATCTCTGATTTAGGCAAAATCAGTTAACACATTGATACTGACCACTTCCTGTACTAAACTGATTAATTCCATCAGCCTGCGTCTCAACTGTGCCACTTCATCTTTGATCTGAGTAGTATGTTGTTCATAAACTTCTTCCAAAGGTTTGAAGGTATGCCCTGAATGCGTACCACCCCAGAGAGCACACTGATGACAGATGCACCGTCTACAAGTCCAGCAGTAGACAGACAGTTTTTCTTGATGGCTTTCACATCTACAGATAAAAAGACCCAAACTCATTACAAACATGACATGGCATACTAATAACATTCTAATGCACTTTACAATGTATGTCCTACCTGTCTCTATCACAGTCATCAACACGAATGCTTGTTAGCCCAACTGCTTGCAGAGTATCCAACTGCTGTGTCACCTCTTCAACCCAACGACAATTGACCAATTCATGAAGATGAAGTGATGCTCGACAGTGAGGGCACTGTGAACGTTGTTCTGTAAGCCATCGGCGAATGCACACATAACAACACAATTTGGAACAATGAGGGCAGAGATGGGCATCCCTCAGCTTCTCCATACAAATGAAGCAACGAAAAACCTCTGCCAATGTCTGAAGTAGAAAGAATATTTTAAAAAAAATAACACAAAAATTATTGCTTATTTTCATTTTCATTGAAGAATTTGATTGCAGAAACGAAGTCAGTCAATAATATCAACCTCAAAATTGTTAATCTAGTATTGTGGATTCAGCATGCCCTGAACAGAGCTTGCATAAAATTTTGATAGCAAAAATTGCATGTCAGGTTTCTTCTGTTTCATATACAGAGTATACTGAAATTTAACCAGAAAGTAGGTATTATTGCATAATTTTATTTTACAATAAATTACCACAGAAGTCAATGGTTCAGACTAATCACATTTTTAAAAAGTAGTAGAAACTTTAAGATCTTAATTTTCCAAAAATGTAAATAATAAATTCACTCAGAAAACTGTGGAACATCATAATACCAAATTATTTTAAACTATAACATGGAACTGGATCTGAAATTAAATACACTGCTAATATAAAGTTTTTTAAAATAAATATTTTGCAATTAAAC